TACACTGAACTCAAACGGTTGGATAACAGAAGCTGAAACAATTAGAAAGTATTAAAAAAAGCAGTAACACTTACTTTATGGAAATGGGGGGGGGGGGGGGGGCAGTCCTGGTTAATTCACGGGTGTAATTTATAAATAATTCTGTTGATTGTCCTTAATGTGCACTGGAAAGTGCACTTGGATGTGCAAGATAATTAGCACATTTGGTTTTTATATGAAAAGTTTAGAGGTGATGAATCATTCTCAATGTAACCACAGATCTTTTACTAAAGTCAAGGAAAGCTATGGAGAATTCAGGCTTAAGTAATGTTTGTGAGGGAAGTATCAGCAGAAAAAAATGGGGAAATCCATACAGAGACACACTGGTAGAAGACTGCTAAGACAAGCAAGATACATAATATCACAGAGTGATGGGAAAAATTAGGTTCTTTTGTCATACATGGTCTAGAAGTTTATTTACATACATGGTCAGTAGGATAGACTCATTGAGGAACGGTTCAAAGAGAGTCACGTTTCTTCTTTATGAGAGGAGTAGTAAATACAAGGAGAGCTGAGGAGCAAATCCTCTCTTAATACAATTAATGTCCCTCTTGACAGCAGAGCTTCTTTTGAGAACTGGGTACTGGTCTTCGAACTATAACTCCTGGAAGAATTATTATTCTGTATGCTGTGGGAAGTCCTCAACCCCAGTGTTAGGTATATCCTATACTCTGTAGGACTGCCTTCTCCTTCGAAGTCCTATTCAGCAGAGAGAAATAGCATATTTAAGCATATTGTGAACATGTATATGACCCTCAAAACTGTAGGATAACTGAAAGCAAAACATTATTTATAGGTGTCTAAAATGTAATTTGCGAGATAGGCAACAGATCAAGCCAACAATTACGCATATTTGATAATGATTGTGATTGGTGTATCCAGCAAAGGCTAAGAAGTTATGCAATTAATGTTCTAGTAACTTTATTAATTTTCTAGCTTGGGTGGATATCCATATACTTATCAAATATGTATTCAATTTACTATGAAATAAGCTACCTCTCTCTAGAGGGGTAACTCGAGCGGTAGAAAGGACTGGGAGGCCAGGCAGTGCAGAGACCAGGCCACAGCACAAGTGTGAACGACTGTCTGGACTCAGGCAGCACTGCATCCTTATGTTAGCCAAGCACAGGGTTAATGCATGACATCTGGGAAGGAAATAAGGGATATGTATCCTTTTCTGAAGGAATTTGCACGGAGCACCACTCTAGCTCTGACTCCGAAGATGCCCCTCTTGCTTTCCTAATTCACTCTGAATTTACAGCTCCTTCACCTTGGCTCAATATGGCTGAGGAGCTTTTGCTGGCCATTATCTCTGATCTTGTCTGCACTTGCAGCGAGCCCTTCTGTCTATCTTCCTCTGCACAGGCAGCTCCTCCCACCCCCATCCTGTCTACAGAGAGCACAAACCTTACTCTGGAGCCCTTTGCATCCTCCCCACTGGACCTGAGTCTGATGCACTAACTCCCCAAAAGCACAGCCACTGGCTCCTGCCTCCACTCCAAGCCTCCTTGGCCATCCCAGACCTTCACCACTAGCTCTTCCTCCAAACACCTCTGGAGGCAGCTGCAGAGAAAATCAGATTGAGGAGCATGTCAGACTGCCAGACTGTTGAGAGAACAACTATTATATGGCTGCAGGCTTGTCCAAAGGGCTGAAGCCTGTCCACATGCTGTTCTGCATCATCCCCTGCATTGTCCTCCTGTGGCCAGCGCCAGGCATCTATTTAGAATCTGGGGTGTATTCCCAACCACTGCTTCCAAATCAAAACAAATTTACACAACTGCAACTAGAAGGCCTCCAGACAGTATGTTTTTGTGCTTTCCTTTCCTTGAATAGAAAGAAGCCTTTCCTATGGGAACCAGGACTACCACTCATTTCTCCGATACCAGACTGAAGTCCCATGTGGCTGTATTCCCAGACTGTTTCTGCTGAAATGCTGCAGTTTGTCATTTGAAGGTGTTTTCAATATAAAAAGTCAAAGACAATTTGACTAAATGTAAATCAGAAGAAAAGATTGGGAAGGCAGAGGAATAATAATACATCAATTTAGCAAAGTTCTTGCTGTGAATATCAAAAAGTATGTCACTAATCTGCGCTGATTGCTTGGAGAAAATTCAGAGTGCATGAGTGCTCTGTTATCTTTGCACTGCACCTTTTTTTTTGCTGTTGTGCTTGTACCAGTGCATATTTTACAAAGATTAATATGCTCCTACCAAATCCATACAGCCTTATAAAATCCATGGGGACATCTGGCAAGAATTTATCAGATCTTTTTTCTGCATGTTCCTTGCAAACAGATTAGTACCTAGTGAAGTATTCTTAAGTGAGAGGGTAGAATGAAATGGGTGTTTTATTGATGCAGAGAGGAGATCAGTGGGAATTCAAAATCTGAAGTTGCAAGATAAGATCAGGTTGAGTGAAAGACCTTTTCCTCTGAATTTGGAAACAGCAAGTAGCTATCAAAAGAGTGCATAAAGTAGAAAGGGATCACAGAAAACTCCATCATTTAAGGAGTTAATAAATGTCTTTGACAAACCTTTCATGCATGTTTTCACTGGCTTCACAAGAATACACAATGTGAAGTTGTGTCTTACATAAAACAGAGAAGAAAACGAATGCAGCTTTGCTTTACCAACTGGAAAAAGAAATACTATTAGTAGATTCTATCAAATTCAATAATTTATTCCCTCTTTACACTTCTTCTTTCCTTGAAGAAAATCCTTTATAACTAAATCTAGCAGCCATATTGGACCATACATCATTCCATACTATCCCAATGAACTACTAAAAAGTCAGCTCAGCACAGCATCAAAAATAGATATTGAGAGCCTTGTATATAAAGCTACTATTGATACCAATTGCACTTGAGTCAGATGCTGAACCACGACTGAAAAGATAGCCTGTGACTGACTTGTTTTATTAGATTCAACATTGATAAAGTAAATAAGGTTTAGACGCAGAAGGGTTTAAGGTACTTGAAAAAAAGCAGCCAACAAATTCACAGTATTCATTCTAATAAAGATCTGCTAAATCCAAAGAGGTTGGAGAAGTAGCCTGCTTTCATGAAAAAAAATAGTTCTGGCATGAGCAAAGTCTGCACCCCAGACTTTAATAAACACCACAAAGATACCAGCACTGTAACACATTTGAGAAGGAGTTTGCTTGGAGTGAGGGTGAAGTACAGTGGCAGGCAACCAAAACCACCTGACAGCCTTCGTGAGGCCAGTTCACACAATATTCATCTCCCTTATCCCTAGTCTAGAAGAGCTGTGCAGCTGTATGTTGACAAGCATTACAATGAGCCGTCTATTTTAAAAACTATCACACTAAAAAAGATTTACAGCACATTTAGAAGGTCTAGCACTAATTTTTTTGCAAGAACCCACAATGAATTACTATTAAGACACAGGCTTAGATCAGTTATTTGCCCTGATAGGTGGCAGGACTGTCACCTTCTTTATCACCAAGATGTGTAGATGAGTGAAAGACAAACATATCAATGGATTTATGTGGTGGAATGTAATTTTGCTCTGCTTAAACCAAACATCTGTATAGACTAACAAATATCAAATCCTCCTGAATCCTACTTCAAAATGCAAGAGCGTATCTATCAACACAATTACCTACATCACAAACAGCTGCAAATTGAATGCCAGAGATCAAACACCACAGCAAGTTTTCACAACAACCTTGAAGTTCCAATCAGTTCTCTTGGGCATCACAGCACATAAGCACAGATTTCAGGAAAACCACAAAAAATCTACCACTGTCTTCAGCCAAGAGTGCTGACTGTATATGCACCCCTGCTGTGTAGTTGGGAGAACCATGAAAACACTCTGGCTGCATCTGGAGCAGATTCACTCTGCCTGACATCTCAGTCAGTGACTATTGTGTTAGTAGCACCTTTTTGTTAAGGCAGTGACTGGGTCTGTATAAAATTAATACAGAAAAAGAAGTGAAAAAAAGGAAACAAGTATACCAAAAAGGTGGAATAAATTAGCATAAAAAGATAACAACCCTGTCTAGTAAGCTACTCTAAATGTAGGTTAAAAAATGAGAACTATTGTCTAAGTTGCTCACTTTTAACAGACAGGCATTGAAAATTGCATAAATAACAGTTGTATAACTAAAAAAGTACCATTTGTTTCACTTGGACTCTGAAAGCTGCTGCCTTCCATTCTGCAGGATCCAGGCTGTCAAATTCCCAGAGTTAGATAATCGATCAGTAGTACAAGAAATTAAAGGAAAATGTTTGACCCTGCTGGGAATTGAGAAGGGCTCATAGACATCTTAGACCCCTCGTGTGGTTTGCTCATGATCAAAGTCAGCCAGCAGGTAAGGGACAAAAAAAAAAAGCTGCACATTGCATATACTCCAGAGCCACACTCCACCAAGACCCCAGTCCTCAAAAACCTCCAAAAGGACAGTAAGAGAATTCCTGTGAGCATTCACCGCTAGGCAAGTCCCATACATCCTTGTATGCCTGGGGCCCAAAATCAGTAATTTGTATTTGCCTTTAATCAGGCTGTGCCAATGTGCACATTAATTTAAGCCCCAGTTATGAAGAGGAGATATATTAACATACAGAATAGTCATTGCCAGAAAAATACACAAAAAAAAAAGGTGTGAGAGAAAGACCTATATGCTACAGAAACTCTTGGTTCATACTTTTCCTCTAATTACCAACTCAGTGAGTGCCCCTTTGTTTTTCAGGTCACTCCCCAATTATATATTACATGTCTCTTTGTTCCAGAACCTTTAATTCTTTTCCAGTGTTGCAGAATTAAACGGACAGGGTTCTTAATCTTGTCTCTACAAAGAACTTGTTGTAATTGCAATGAATGCTTTCATTTTGCTGGTGTCTGAAATACGATTTGCAGGGGAAGGGGGAGTGCGGGTTGATGCTAGTCCCATCATTAATAACATTCTTGCAGGGATTGTAGTGGTGGGAGTAAAAAAACCCAAAGCTTTTATATAATAACAAGCATGTGCCTGCACGTGAACTGTTCCTTTAAGAAGCCTTGGGCTAGCGGAAGAAGGGGGATCTGGAGAAAAGGCAGCCCTACAGCTGTAACATAGGGCAGAGGTTAAATCTGTTGCCATTTTTATTGCAAGTATGGTCACTGCATACTCTCTCCCTGAAGGCTTCACTGAATTAGAGGTGTTTGCCATCGGCACTGCCCTGCTGGTAGAAGGTAAGCTCGGTGCAAGACATCATCAGGAATAAGGTTTTTACCCTAATTACTCCTGGTGGGAGGGGGAAAGAAAACTGAAGCAAACAGCAGCATCTGTGGTACATTCACCAGTGGTGGTTACTGCTGCTATGTCACCGGTATTTCTTGTGAGTAAATCAGGGTGAACTGCAAGCTGTTTGCACTGAAGATCCCTGTGGCAGTGAAGTTCCTGCTACATAGCTTTCTTATCAAGAATTTGGGATGCAGGATTTTGTTGTTGACTTTTAAAGGCAATTTTATCCTACGGGGAACAACATTGGAATGACCAAAAATCTCTCAATAAAATTGGGCTTCTTGCTTTGTGGGCTGTGATAGTTGTTTCAGAATCAAAGATGATAGGTCCAAAATAACCTGTTAACTGTTAGCATACATACAAATTGCATTGGTAGTGCTGCAAGTAATGGCTCTTGGATAACAGTAAAAGCCAGAAATATACTTGGGCAACATTCAAGAGCTCTCATGGCATTACGAAGCAAAAGTTGGGATAGGAGACCATATTCGTTTAGGTGAGCTAATGTGGGCTTTTCTTAAGGCATGTGCCACTTCACTGAGAGACTGCAGCAAAACTGTGAATTTGTATCTACCTGGTAGCTAGTGAAGGACAGGTGTGTAGCTGGGATTATTAGGTGTAAGTCAGCGGCATCTCTTCTGAGCTACATCCCAGTCAGGGCCTGGGACTCCATCCCTGCATAGTGCTGCTCAGCTGGGGAAACAGGGATTGTGAAGCCCAACAGTAGAGGGGGAGAAGGTGTAAGCACCATCAGAATGGGATAAATGCTCATCAGCTCACCCCATGAATGTGGAGCATGGGAGAAAGGAGAATGCTCTCCCTTTCCTTGCAGGTGAGCTCAGCTGGAAGGCAGCATCATGTCTGCCTGCAAAGGAAAGCTGTAAGAACTGTGTCAGAAACTCTTCCGTGGGAGAGAGAGAGAGAAGAAAAACCTTTTCCTTCTATCCTAAACAGAGTTCAGGGCTAAACTGGGCCACGAGCATTAAGCCATCTTCAGTGCCTGGCAGGGCCTGGTGTTACTTTGCACTTCATTACTGAGGGGTGAGAAGCGGCAGGAGGACGAGTACGCCGCCGGGTGCTGGCAGAGCCTGACAGCAGGGGTCTTGCTGGGGAACGGCTGGCTGCAACACCACAGACCTGCCAGCCCTCACCTGCCCATGCCCAGGGGGCTGCAGCCAGCCGGGGACCTTCTCTGCTGTTGAAGTCCAAGCAGAGTACCTGCTGGTGACCCTCACCTAAACTAGATGTCATCTAGTACATTTGTGCTTTACTAAACACAAGTATTTTCTGTAGGGTTTAGGCAGAATGTGCACAGTGGATTGGCAGTAGAACTTTATCTTTTCCATCTGACTTGGAAGATCTAACTAAATAATTAAAGATTCATCCACTTTCTCAAGGCTCTGAGAGAAACCAATGAAGACAGCCTTCCAGTATCTGAAGGGGGGCTATAGGGATGCTGGGGATGGACTCTTCATTCAGGAGTGTACTGACAGGACAAGGGGTAATGAGTTAAAACTTAAACAGGGGAAGTTTAGATTGGATATAAGAAAGAAATTCTTTACTGTAAGGGTGGTGAGGCACTGGAATGGGTTGCCCAAGGAAGTTCTTAATGCTCCATTCCTGGCGGTGTGCAAGGCCAGGCTGGACAGAGCCTTGGTTGACATGGCTTAGTGTGAGGTGTCCTGCCCATGGCAGAGGATTGGAATGTGATGATCTTAAGGTCCTTTCCAACCCTAACTATTCTATGATTCTATGATTCTACGACCTTCTTTCTGTGGCAGCTTCTGAGTGCAGTTTGCAAAAAAGTCCTGTGGAAGAACTGAAACTTGCATTCGCTTTATTAGCTGGACACATTTGTTGTCCTAAAAATGAACATATATATTTTTAACTGAGTTCTCTATTTGTACACTCATGCTGGCCTTCAAGAAAGCAGAGTGGGTTGAAGCCTGGAGCTTCCAAAAACTGGGGAAAGATAGAAGAAAGCTGATCTGTTAGTAACTCTTTTTCTACTACTCTAAATAAGGTCACAACATACCTCTCCTAAAGGCTTCACTGCGTTTGGGAGAGTTGGCAGCAGTTTTACCCTGTGGATGGGGGGTAAGCTGGCAGGGAAGAAATAATAACAGCAGATCTCAAATGGCTTCAAGTATTTCTCCTGGAAATATTTTGTTGTATGTTATGTAACGAAAGGCGCACATCAGCTGTTACTATGGTTATGCCATCAGCCATTAATGCAATTAAGGTAGGAGCAGGATTTCTGACTGACAAAATCATCCATCTTATGTAGCTGCAGAATTAAGACAATGAGCATAAGTAACTACACTGCAGAATTAGGGGATATGGGTTTTCTCTGTGCTACATCATTTCTCTTTCCAAGAAGAACACAAAAAGACATACTGCCTCTTATCTAACTGAGATCTGGGATGTTGAGTCAGAGCCTCATCAGAGCTAAAACAATTCGGGTAATTCATCTTGAAAAGGACATTAAAGGACAAAGCCTGAGTTTAAACCAGTGAAGAACAGATTTCAGAGTGGCACAGCTCTCTGCTGGGTGAATAGCCAGAGCTGCTCGGATGCTCCTCTCTGAGGACTAACATTAACTTATTTTTTAAATCTACCAGTGACTGCTTTTTATAATTAGATTATTCCTTTCCATGTATAGTCTATTGACGAAGGGCAGTAATAAGATTGAGCTGGTGTGATACAAGCACTGTCTAGGCTAACCTTAGACAGAAGCCCAGAGGTAAACAGGCTGACTGAAACACAGCTGAGGGGTTTAAACACAAAAGAATGGTACAAACAATATTAAATACAGCCCATTTCTTTACCAAAGACAGGCTTGGGAATGTGTGCACCAGCAGCATGTGCTGGCTGTCTGCCCTTCTGCATATCCCTCACTCTGACCCATGTGTCCCTGGATGGAGCCCAACAACCAGGTTTCTCTATTAAAACAAAAGGTAGAATACAAATAAGATTAAAGCACTTCTGCTCTGCATGACTAGATATACCCCCAGTGCAGTACGAAGCACTGACTTCAGCTGTCATCTATGACAGTCTCTGTAACTTGCGTGAAGACTGTGACTACTGTCTATATATACTGTCTATATACATTCCCTGTACATAACTTTCCATGGTAATTACTGTTCTCTCATTAAAGAAAACAGCAGTATCATTATAGATATTTCCCAGTTCCAGTTGAATCACGCAAAACAATTCTGTGTTTCAGCCCTGCTTGGCTTCTGTCTGAATGGCTTGACAATTATTTCTTTCCGAAAAATCAAAGAACTCCGAACACCCAGCAATCTGCTGATTCTCAGCATTGCACTGGCCGATTGTGGGATCTGCATCAACGCATTCATCGCTGCCTTTTCCAGCTTCCTAAGGTATCTTCTTCTTCCTAAAGAAGATAACGCAAAATTAACAGCTTAAGTCCTAAGAGGTCAAATTAATACAAATTATTCTCTAGCATACCATCTAACCAACTTTTTCATTCTTTCTATTTAAAACCACGAAGTGAAACGCTATATAGGTCTACCAAGCAAGAAAAACACAGACTTTACTGCATATAATCACTTGCAGATTATAAAGCTGATTATAAAAGACATTTAATCAGGCAGCTTTATGAGTGGTTATAGTAGAAGCTGCTTGAATATCGAAATAGTAGTACATTTTAATTTGACTAAGCCTCTAGATCAACCCCAAATTTATTTTTAAGTCTTTCTGGGTTTTTGATGAACCTTTCCATTAAAGCACTTATTTGAGAAATTTGCAGAAAATGAAAATGCCAACCTTTAGCAGGGAGTTTACATCAGTTGTGACACATTTGATTTTCCACATTTTCACACATGTCAATCATTTAATCAAAGGACAGAAACAATATCAAGCATTTCAGTGAATAATTACAACAAACAAATCACATGCAAGCCATACTCAAAAAAAAACCAAAAACCCTATAAAATAGCTGATGAATAATTCTGCCTTACTACCATATTTTTAAACCCTGGAAATACTTCTAACAGAGAACAGAAATATATTTCAAGACTTAATGTGACCATTTTATCCTCCCTTAATGAATATAAAAACATTTTTGCAAATTAGGAATTCAATAATAAGCTCCAGTGAGGCCTTATTCAACATTATTTTGCTTCCTGTATAGGTCACTCTTGTTCAGACACTTGTGTCTCACTGGAGTCAATAAAATGACTTTACTGAGCTGTAGCTGAGAAGCTAAGGTCGATATATCAAAATAAACTTGGTTTTAACAACTGCAGGACCTTTTCTCTTAAATGGGTGCAGAAGTTTCCCAGATTCCCAGGCATTCAGCAGTCTCCTGTTCAACGGGACTTTCAGAAATAGTCTCCCAATGAATTATACCGCTGTTCTGTAAACACATGACAAAGTAGTTTGCTGTGTACTTCTACCTCACAGTCAGCTTTATGAGCATAACAGTCAGGTTAGATGAGGAGAGAAAGAAGAAAAGCCATGGCTTCTTGCCATGGCTGACCAGGGTGTTAGGATGACCAGCACATGTCAGCGGATGTGACATGAGATTACCACATGGTTATTCTCATTTTATGTCTACAAAGACATTTGGAGGCCACAGACTTGCTATTAGGAATATTTTTATTCATTGTGAGCTTTTGTACTGTGTTGCTTGGTGAACACTGGCTTTCCAAACGGTTATTACTCACTTGCTATATTCACATGTTGACAAATTGGCTGCTCCCAGTGGGTGCAAATTTTGAAGATACGGATAATTGGATGAAATGAAGGTTTCAAATCAAAAAAAACAACTTTCCAATCCATAAATTAAGGGTTTATTTTCTTTTACATATTAAGAGTTAAAATAGCTGTGGTACTATATCAGGCCTCACAGCAAGAGAAAGGATGGCAAATACCTAAAGGCAACCACAGGAACATTTTTGTCAATGTTTCTCAGACTTAGAAAACATGACAAAGGCTATCATCATTTTACCCTTGCAATTAATACGTTTCCAAAGATATCTTCACCTTTTTCTTACATACTTCTTGTTTGTTGGCAGATACTGGCCCTATGGCTCTGAAGGCTGTCAGATCCATGGATTCCAGGGTTTCTTGACAGCACTAGCCAGCATTAGCTCCAGCGCTGCAGTTGCCTGGGACCGGTATCATCACTACTGTACAAGTAAGGGATACAATTTACCTAGTAACCTTACTTGCTATAAGGCAGCTTGCTTAGATTTCAGAGAATCAAAGCAAGCACATATTTATTATCTGTGTATCTTATATGTAAGTTTATTTATCTTGTACACCAGAGACAGAGCAAATACAATCTGTCCAAAGGACCTCTTCCCACAGAGTGGGGACTAACCAACCACCTTCAGGACATATTTCCTCTTCCACATCACATCCAAATTGTGACCCTTTTGCCATGATCTCACTTTCCCTGTAGGTAATCTTCAAAACAAAATCCAAACCAAAATACAACTCATCATATTGAAAAAAATTTACGCACCTTCGGCTCCCATCCAACACCCCGCTGTGTACCAAACAGATCTTCATGCCCATGCAGGGCTTCCTAATTACAGATAAATTTGGTGCAGCTAGAGAGCTGCCTCTCCAGAGACAGCAGCTGGAACATAGCCCACGGCAAAGCACTTCTGCAGAGATACAATCTTGCAGGCAGAGCTCAGCAGCTCCATTGTGTGACAAACAAGCACTTTGGGGTACAAGAGCCATTGGTGAGGTCTGTGCTGTATTCTAGATTCCCTTATGAAGACTGGAACTTCATATATTTGTTCCCAAGCAAGGAAAAAATTATCTGCAAGTTTCAATAAAAGTGGCAGAGCTATTTTTAAATACTAATAAGAGGAGGAAATGTTATTTTTCTTGTCTTAGTGAAGGCCATTCTTTGTTGTTTTTTTTTCTTGCAATATAGTTTTTAACTAGCTCTGACACCTTTGCTGGGTTTAATGGAAATCCAATTTTAGACAGGGAGATCAACCCAGGAAAATAAATTTGACATTTTCTATGGACTTATGAAAGCATATTTTTAATTTAGGTGAGAGTTTGAAAAGATTGGCAGATATGTGGATTTATAGAGATAGATATGCTCTATCACAGAAATTCCTCCCAGACTTTGGCAGTACTGCATTCACATAACATGAGTGGAAATTCCTGCTGAATTAGGAATTCAACAGGTTTTGGTGCCTGTACAGTCTGCTGAAAGTCCAGATGTCCTCCAGCCACCACTGTGGATGGGGCGAACAGGGGAACAACTGTATTCTCTTAGCACAGAAGTCAGGAAGCACAGCAAGGAGCTTTATCATCTGCTGTAAAACAAAACAGCATCCTTGTAAGCACTGGAACTTGCAAAACCTGCTTTCTTGCAAACATGGTGCACAGGGATGATATTCACCTTTGTCTAATAAGATAGATTTGCGCTGACTGCTTGTCCTGGTTCCAGCTATAACAGCAGCTATGGGTGCTTTCCTGTGGCATCACCTCTTCCCAAACACTAACTTTCACAGTAAATGCAGCAGCTTGGTACCTGTCAGTTCCCACTTCTCTCTCCAGTATAATTCTAAGTAGCCAATGTTTTCAAAAGTGATCAGGAAAGGACTGAGAGACCAACACAAAGTGTACAATCTCACAGCCCTCATTAGGAAAATGGGAAAATACATGATGTGAAATACAAGCTTATTCTGAAAGGACATCCTAGCACTCTGTAATGCTAGAAATGCCCTAATTCACATTATAAAGTAACTTTGGCAGTCATGTGGGAGCTCTGGCACCTGGGAAAAATTGGTGAGGTTCTCCCATCTGCAGCTTTCATATCTCCTGCTAAAGCCAGGCTTTTTCCAGAGGAATGAGGAGTCCAGAGCACCTAATGTGACCACACCATTCCCTAAACACTTGTGTCCTTTTGGCAATGTTGATAGACAAATGCAGCCCTCCTTTTATTGAGCTAAAGCACAAGCTGCTCAGACCGCTTCACAAAATATTTACTAAAGGAAAGTGTAAAAGCTGGCTGGGGAAGAAACTGCTGAGCTGCAGCGCTTCAGTCCCCTCCACCACTGGCATCCTCACAGCCTTTTAGGCACATCTTTCATACGATTAAAGCAGCAAGTGGTGAAACACAACCAGAGCAGACAACAAACATGTTCAGTGAAGATCCTGTTGCGGGTGGAAGGGTTGCCAACTTTTTGTTCTGCAGCTTTTGTCAAGAATTTTTCTCTTTTCCTCAGGCAACAAAATGTTGTGGAGTTTGTTTTTTTTTTTATGTCCAAAGGCCCCAGATAATGCAGGCAGTAAGCTAAATCCATACTAACACCCTCTGGACCCTAAATGTGTTTGGAGCCAGAATAGGAGCATCTGTATTTTACAAGAGAGAGCCTGAAAATAAGCGTGTCCTTGGAAAGACATTTTAGTCTCTGCAACATTGGCTTTAATGCTTTTATGTCATGCCCTCCTCCAGTCAAGAGCATACTCCATTAAGAGCACAGGCAGAGAGACCCTAAGGGCACAAGCTTCTTTACTTTGCTCAAATTGTTACTTACTGATGGCCAAACATTGCTCCTGTTAGTGAATACTTTGAACAACAAAACAAAATAAAAACCAAAAAAGCCCTCAAGACCCAGAAGGTTTTAAAAGCTCATGCTCTGTGGCTATTCCAGTAAAACCAGCCACTTCTGGTTTCATCCTTCACATGTTGATTGAGAGCAAGATTAAATCATATTTCATAGATCTGATATCCCAAGGCTCCAGGCTATGTGTGTTCTCAATCCATACATTAAACTCCTGCTGACACTGGTGTGAGTTTTCATGCCTGTACAGAAGGCACAAAATATCTCTGCCTAAAAAACAAAGCTACCAACTATTTATCTCCATTCCCTGGGAACTGGTCCTCTTTCCAGACTAAATTACATCAATGTTTTTGTCATGCCCTAACAGTTTCTCAATAAACCCTTTCTTGTGACATTCCTCTGCTTGACACTTGATTATGCACTATCCATATTTCTGAGGAAGACAGAGCTGATGAGAGTGTGAGATTACTAAAATGGTGAGAAAAAAATGGGACTTCTCAGCCATTCTGGAGTCTAATAACAGAAAAATGTTCACCAACATCCTGAAAACTAACCAATTTTTTTAATTAGTTTGATTTGAAAGTCAGTACAACCCTTGGTGATGTAGTGCTAGGCTTTAAAGTGTATTGATAACTAGACTTGTCATGCATAAGAGAAGAGGTTGGTATTGATTGGCATATGGAAGAAAATTATATGACCACCACACATGACAGACATACTAGAGTTTCAAGACGTTTTACTCTCCTCCCCCTTTCTTTATTCCTCCCAGGCAATCCTTCAGGGAAACTCTTTTCATCCCGTAAATATGGCTTTGGGATGTATGGGGCTACTTTCACAGCAAGGAGGGAAAAAACTGCATAAATTTGTAGTCTGAAAGTCTCTACAAGAGGGGAAAAGGCAGGGGAGTCTGAAGGGTTTGAATGTCAACCACTAGAAAGATGGGGAAAGAGATAATTGCATTTCAAAATCTGATCATTAGGGGTGGAAGGGAAAAAACAGAATCGGTTTTATGTTAGTGCCTGTCAGCAAAGTAGGGAAGGGCAAACTCTGAGGAAGCTGTCTACCAACAGCCAAGCATTCAAGAAAGAAGATGACATTTTATATCACGATATTTTATTTCATTCTGACATTGTATATAGATAACATTGTCAGTTGTCCCTCCCTGGCCACTGAAATGAGGAAAACATCCTGGATAACATTCTTAATGTAGTAAGGGAGGAAGGAAGCATCAGCATGGGAGGTCTCACTGGAGCAGCGATCAGGCAGGCTGGTGGACAGTGACCTGAAAGCAGGCAGACACCTACCACGGAGACATCTTTGCTGAAGGCATTTCAACCTAACTCGTAGCTCATTTTAGCGAGAAGGTAGCATTCTGCCATCAGCAGCTTGCGGAGAGGGGAAGGATCCTGGTCGGGTTTTTTTCCTTTCCTAACCACAGCATACAGATACAGTTTTAAAAGAAAAGACAAAAAAAAAAACAAAACCTCTATCAGATTTTACACTTGCATTTAAGAATTAGGGAAAATGGAAAATCTGAAGTGATTTATGTCAGTACTTTTCTCACTATTACAAAAGAAAATACGAACAAAATCAGCAGGGATTTCACAGCAGCATTTAATTTCAAGTAGAATTGTGGTGACTTTTATCTAATCCTTAACATTCAACGAAATCTAGGTTGTTATATCAGTATTCAAAGATTAGCAAACTGCCATTTGCTCCAATTGCAGCTGTCAGATCTGTCAAATTAGGATCAAGTGCTTACCTCCTGTCACACATACTGCAGCCACCCTGCCACATTTCCCTCATCTAGTGTTCTACCTGCATCAGTTTTCCCTGACAAAATGCCAATGTTTATACAGCTCTTGCATTTCCACTGAAGCAGGAGATAATTGCCAAGACAGCTCTGTGATCATGGGGAACCACAGCAAAAAAATCAATGGAGTAAAAAAAATACCTTTATTAGGTTTTTTAAAGAGCTCTTTCTAATGCTATGCACAAAAGAAGCTATTATGCAGTGCAGCTTTCTTATTCCTACAAAAAACTGAATGATTGTGGACACCAGTGACTAGTGCTTCTCACACTGCAGATGAAGTAGGCACCAATACCTGTTTTACTTATGACTGATACATATTTTCCCTTGTAAGATACTCAGATATTTTCGTCTTTGACAAACTTTGCCAATTTTAAGTGATGCATACCTGAAAGTCAGGTACAAGCCATACTGTTCTGAAATACACCAGCCATTATAATTTAACGATTTCCAAGAATGAGGAAAAAGGACTTCTCCCTTTATCCTAGAAAGCCCTTTAATCTTTCTGTTTGAGAGTTTCCTTTTGAATTCCAGCCTGAGATCTATAGCTGAAAGGTAGCCACTGTGTCAAAGATTTTTTTTTTCTCTTTCTGTGAAAACTGGCAAAATGTTAACCCATTTACAAATCTACCAAAAAAAAAAAAAAATTAAAATCTACATTTATAAATATCTCCACCAACTAGAGATGGAAAAATAGTTTATGATTATGTCACTAAAAACTGTCCAACATAATCAAAAGAATTAAGGTTCCATGCTCCATTTTAGCACTTCCTAAAATTTTAGATTTTGACATCACAGTTTTAAAATCATTAAATGGCAGAGGGGTTGTTTGTAAGAGTGAGCTCTTTCTGTTCCAAAGCAATTACAGAAGCTGTTTCAAATCCCCTGTATTAATAATTCACTGTATGGAAAAGAGAAGCTTCCCTCTTGCTTTACAAGGAGAGAAAGCCAAAATACAAGAGTGATTAGACTTAATAGGAGCAAACTGTCATCTCTGGGCCCTAATTAGGAATTCTACCCTTAAGCATAAGCTGAGGCCCATACATACACATTTAACTGAATTAGGATCTACACGGCTATTGCATTAAATTTTATCAGGTCAAAAAAAAGGCATTTAAGGTAAAGCAACGGCCTGCACTGCACAAAAACAACTGAACTGCTCTCGACTTGCTCCCTGTTGTCAGCCCTCTCCGAGGAGGGCATTTTTGCCAACTGAATGGAGCACAAGTCTTACTGTTCTTGTTCTGAAAGTATTTTTTTTTTTTGGATAAAACTAAAATAATGTCAGGTTTGTTTAATTTTACATTCATACACATTTAGCTACCTCTGATATGACATTAAATGTTTTCTGGAGGATCAGTGGACAGCTGATTTCACCAGGACTATTTCACCATAAATCTCACTTTGCAAAAGGCCAAATCCAGAAGAAAAAAATAGTTTTGTTAGTTCTGATTCTCTCCTTTTCTAATGTCCAAAATTGGACTCCTTCAGCATGAGGAGGCAGAACATATGAACTTTGCCCTAGAGATAAGCTTCCCAAATGCAGGGTCTCAAGACATGAGCTTCCCAAATATAGGCTATCAAGACATGTCTGGTGGCAGACTTCATTACTGCACGGTGGTCTACATCTAATAAGAAAATGGTGTTACCTAATACCCATGGGAAAGTAACTAAAATTAACCTTTTCTTACAGTTTGTCATAGAGGAGGCACAAAAGTTAAAGCAAAAAATTAGGAAAACCAAGGGGAAAAAAGAAAGCAAATGGAAATTGGGAAGTGTCATCTCTCTGCGCTGTCACAGCCCTGCCAGGCATGTGGACCTCCCCAGCTACAACAGAAAGGGAACTGAAGCAGGGCACTGCCAGCCAAAAGCATAGAGAGCTTTCCCCTGGAGTGTCCCATGGGCTGCACTTTTCCTGTTAAGAAACTATACATAGAAATCTTCATTAAAGCCACTCTTGATAGAAAATATTTGAAAGCAGTTTCAGCAGCAGGCCTCACAACTTGCTGCCTGCATACAGCCCAGCTGGTAGCACAAGGGGCCAGAGGAAAGATGTGGCAGCAAGAGCCTGGGCACCGTGAAAGACCCTAAAGGTGGTGGGAACCCATGGGGCAAGAGCTTCTCCTGCAAGGTGAGAGGAGGGAAGGTGAGATTCCCACCAGCCACTCCATGCACGCATGCAGGCAGCTGGATCAGCTGCTCTCTGTCACCTGCAGGCTGCCTTCAGCATGCTACCAACACAGTCCCAGCAGTTGAGGGCAAATTTTGTCAATGCAAGGATCTTTCCCTTACATGGAAATATACGTGAGGTGCCGACATGTGGCTATGACCTACTGGCACTGGAGTGCCTCAGTCAGAGCTCATCATGTTTCAAGACTATAATATTGGAGTAGTCCTTGAAGAGAGCAAAGTCTCTGCCACAAGATACCAAGAAAAACAATTGGTATTCACTATTTTAAGGAATTTCTGAGGAAAATAATCCGAAAGACACCACGCAAAAGCAAGCAACAAGATTTAGTTTGTCTTTCTCAGACTACCAGGGGGGCTTACCACTTACAAAATTGTATTTCCAAAGCAATAAAGCTACTTTTGCACGAACTTGGTTTAAAAGAAACACAATTCAGATCCAGGTTTCAGTGCAGCTGCTTATGGTAATGCCTTTAAAATGTAACTAGACTGTGTAAAACACAAAACAGACCTGACAGATTATGTAATAAGTCCTGACTGAATTTCAAGCTACGCTTGTGTAAAGCAAAGCTACAAGAACCACTATGCAGAACACAAATGGACAAATGAACAAATGGAAATGGAAACCTTGCATGAGTGACAATTCTAACGTGCTCGTTTGAGCATACACCAAAATATGATGCAGGTCTGAAAGGTACAACTTAGGCTACACTGCTTCTTTGAACTGGGAGATTAAGGATCATTACAAGTTACTAAAAAGTTTTACTCATATTTCTAGTTCTCTGAATCAAAAGCTACCCTTTTTCTTTCATCTCTGTCATTCTAGAGTCCTCTTACGTCAGTACTAGAAAACAGTATTTGAGCCCTTGTAGCCACATTGTATCTTTTATGCAGGAATCATATAAAAGACAGACATTAGTCCTTACTAATCATTCTTCACTAGCAATTATTAAAAATAATGTTTTAAATTATGAAAAAAATCAGAATATTTATTGGTAACTGCCATAGTAAAATATATAGTAAAAAGGATTTATTTTACTGTTTCCTTGGTATTTAAACTGCAATGCGTACACCTGTTTTTTCCCATAACTAATTTTTGAATGCCTGTACCAAACCATTTTTCCAGGTTGATTTTTTAGTGCAATTCAAACCAATTCTTCTCCCTGAAGAACCTCTGTAAGAAGAAGAGCGGCAGAGGTAGAATCAGCATTCCTGTAATGTAACACATGTACCTTATCATCCTTCTTTAAAACACACAAGGACAGTAAAACACAAAACAGCTACTGCAGAGTTTGCAGTCCTTCCTGGAGTTGCTGCCTTATGGGATGCTGTCCATTCACAAGTCAGCCACATCCAATCCCATGACAGGGCCTCTCACACATCCCACCTCCAATCCTTCTCCTTTCTGAGAACAGTTAGAACGGGCCTAAATCTTCCTGGCCTGCTGTCATAATGCTGCTGTTAAGAGCAGACAAAAAGATGGCTTCCCAACCTCAGTGAAAATTACGTCATTACTTCTCCCTAATGACAGATTTGATTAGAAAGTAGTAATGGGAAAAGTCGCCATGCTCCTTGCTGGTGCAGCTGGCGTCATGGGCTGTTCAGCATGGGCATGATTACAGATGTGAGCCTCAATAACAAAATTATCTAAGCCTTTTTGGACGCAAGCAGTGAGGCTAATACAATATCCTGCAGCAGCAGGGAAGCCTGCCTGCTTTCTCCATGAAGAAATACTTCTTGTGTCTTCTGAAGTTTCCAGTCTTTCATTTCATTCATTGACCTATTCCCATGGGATTTTATGGAACTAGATGAGATAGGCACAAGTGATTTTTTTTATTATTATATAATTACTTTATTATAAAATTACTAATATTGAGCTTCACATTTCCTGTTCCAGGCTAAGTAATGATGTTAAGGGCAAAATAATTTGACCAACAGTATTTTTAGAACAAGATCTTTTATCAGGTTGTGTATATATATTCGTATATATATTGATGAGCAGCAATTTTAGAACAGGGTACATTTAATATCCACGCATGCCCTGCACTCCTGGCAGGGGAGAAAGGAAGTAGGCAGAGGCTGGAGAGCGTGTGCAGAATCAAATTTCTGATCTGACCCACACCGTGCAGCAGTACTTTAGTTCTTCAAACAGTATTTATTGTATCGCCCTGGTCATTCTGGTCTCCACCTCATCTGAATCTTTAAAACACGCCCCCAGAATACAAGAATATAACGTTTGTAACAGCAATACGGTACAAAGCTGAGCAGCAATACAACATTTGTCTAAGTAAAGCAATCAAAGGGGAAGTACAATTTGCTGTTTCCTAAAGTCTAAAATCTCCCTTCATATTCTGGGTTGATTTCTTCATACTCAGGTCAGCTTCAGGCTACAAAACACAGACAACTGTTTGTTGGCAGTTGGCACTTGGCTCTGGCCCCACAGAGCTGGACATTTTTTGCCAGTGGTTTAATTCCAGGCACGGAGACCCCCTTTTCTCTTCCCACAGGGAGCAAGCTGCAGTGGAGCACGGCCATCTCCATGGTGGTGTTTTCATGGCTGTTTGCTGCCTTTTGGTCCATGATGCCCCTGCTGGGGTGGGGGGAATACGACTACGAACCCCTCCGAACCTGCTGCACCCTGGACTACAGCAAAGGGGACAGGTGAGGGCCAGGGACAGTTGCTATGGGAAGGAGGGATGTGGCTGCCATCCCCTGGGGTGGCCTTGGCAGCACACCAAATCCCACAGCTGTCCCTTAACACTGCTGCTGGGGCAATCGCCCTCCTTGCTAGGGCAAGGCAGGCATAATCGGAGGCTGCCTTGACACACATGGTGGCATGCAGGAACATCTAAAGTCAGCTTTTGCTGTGCTCAGGTTTCTGCTACACCCTTGTTCAGCTGTAAGCTGCATATGTTCTGAGTTTAAGAATTAAAACTGTTTTGGAATGGTTCTGGTTTTATGCAGTCCAGCACAGATGTCTGAGTAGGGATGCTTGGGTTTACAAACCAAACATCCATTGTGATTTTCTACAATGCAGGCCGTCCCGCACATAACAGCATGGCACAACTTAACCAGCCTCCAGCAAATGCTGCACCTATAGTATGTTGACAAAAGTGGTTTGGGCAATTAAAAATAGAAAAAACAAACAACTAAATATTTACAGCAAGTTTACAGAGATGCCTAGAGAGGAATTAACAACCTTTTTTTTTTTCCTCCTCACCCTTTCCAGAAACTACATCACATTCCTTTTCGCTTTGTCCATTTTCAATTTTGTGATCCCAGGCTTCATCATGCTGACAGCCTATCAGTCCATATTCCAGAAGTTCAAGAAAACTGGGCACTATAAGGTAAGAAAGCTTCCTCAGCCCTGTACCTACCTTGCCAAAATAGGGCTGCATCCACTAGAGACAAAGTCCTCGAAAAACAACTTTCTTCACAGACGCTTTGGCTTGGCGTCCTCTGTGCTAACCCCCCAGTGCTGTTACTTGAGTAGGAGAGTAGCACAACACAGATGGGGACACCCGAGAAGTTCGTGGAAACTCCATCCTTAGAGATCTTAAGATCTGACCAGCCAGCCGCATCTGTCCAGCCTAGCTCTTTAAAGACTTCCCCATCAAAGCTGGGGTCAGGCTAGTGACCCTGAGGATTCCCCTCCACCACCAAAGGTCCAGCTCTTGTCACAAAACAAACAGGCAGCACAGAGAATATTCACTAATAGCATATTTATATTTACCTAGAGAAACTGCTCAGGAAGGATCATTATTTCCTGCTTTGCTACAGGACATTAGCTTGTCACAGAGGAAGTCAGCCAGAACATCAGCACTGCAAGGAATCATGCAGACCCCTCCTGAGGGAAGAAGGACCTTCCTATGCATGCTGTATTTTCACTTGGCTGAGGAAATTCAGAAATCTTTATGAGCTGGAAACAAAGGAATTTCTATGGTGTGGTGGGTTTATGGGATTGTGATGTGATTATATGAGTTGTTCCCTTAGGTGCAGGCTCTACAGTCTGAGGCACTATGCAGAGCTGGCAGGCACAGCCTGACCCCTGCACTCAGTAAAGATGGTCACTTCTCAAAGGGGATGTTATACCAGCAAAGAGACAGACAGACTGGTTTGTAGCTGCCTGGAATTAATACACGTACCCTCTATGAGAAATACTTGAATACTTCTCAGCGTTTATTATTATAAGTCTACTGCCTTTTCTTCCAGTGTGTTTATGCAATAGTGTGCCATTTCTCTCCCACAGTATTCTCTAGCTGTGCAGACAAGTTACAATGCAGAAAATTTAAGGATTAAATTATCACTTCCCTATCATTAACATAAGATACATGGGAACAGCTGGCTGTGAACACCATGGATAAGGCCCTAGCATAAAGGACAGAAGAATCATACTACCACAACACAAATGCCACTACATGGATCTGTTGCACTGCCATAGTAGGTTTCACACAGTTTATTTGCCTGCAAGACCCTCTAAGAAGTCAGCAAAATGCCGTTCTTTTTTTACCTGTTTTCAAACTTCCACACTGCCCTTCCTCCTCAGCAGCAATGACCAGCCACGGCTTCTCTGTCTAGCACACTCATTCATCTAACTGATCTACCACAAGGTGCTTTTCACTTCTGCCCGAGAGCAGCTCTATCCCACACCCAACCCTCGGGAGCAGGGCTTTGGGGCTCACAGGCAGCCCATGATGCAGAGGGAGCTGCACTCCCCCTGACTTCGACAGCAAAGCAGCAATGATATCCATATCCTGCTGGCTGATCCTCTCCTGCTGCTGAGCACAAACCATGGTCTCCTAGGATCTGTTCTATCTGCTTGTTGCAGTGTGCAATTGTGAAATGCAAAGAAACGTATTGCTCTTGTTTTTCAGTTTAATACTGGTTTACCACTGAAGACGCTGGTCATTTGCTGGGGCCCTTATTGCCTTTTATGCTTCTACGCAGCAGTTGAAAATGTGACGTTCATTTCACCAAAATACCGCATGGTATGTCTGTGCCACCTAAGGGAATTCAAGCAGTGACATTTTGCTTGCTCTCCTCTCTCCATTCCTATGGAACAATGCCAATTTACTCACAAATTGGTTTAGTTGTTATAACATATATAAGTAGATTGTTTCCTTAAACATCATGTTCATCTACTTCTTTAAGTCAAAACAGCTAAGCACAGTGATATAACAGGCATTATAGTAATGCTTAGATCAAGCAACAATTTCGAAAGCCAGGGTTTTTTTCTTTAGCTCTCAAGGGTCTGTAGCCTGTGCTGCTTCCTGGTTCATAGGTGCTTTTTCTGTCCTTCCCAGAGTCAAGCACCAGCTCCATGTTTTTAATTTCGAAGAGAGTCTCTCATTCATTTTTCTAATACTTCTCTGTCCTCAGGGAAGCTACAATTGATCTCTGTTAACATTATGCCACCTCCTTTTTTTCCCTTTTTCCTACGAGTCCTGGCTCCAAAACTGACTCTGGGACCACATCAAACCTTTCAACTTTCATTCAGTCCCCAAGAATCAGCTCAGTTTCAGGTCACCAAATGCATGCCTGTACTTAGGAATTTAGTACCCCACATAAAATGTGTTAGAAGTATCAGCTCACTTACCCACCAAAAGGTGTCTGCAGCCCACCCTTCACTCCTCATAAGTGTTTGTATTCACTCTCAACTGAAATACACCAGTTTCAGGGAATGCTGATCTAAATTCTTTCTCCTGGAGACTATTTCCTGAGTAATGGCCTCCAACTGACCAAACTGCTTTTACCTGACATCTCTCTGGGAGTAGCAAACTACTGGCATTGGAGACAGGCATTTGTTTGGTAAAGGGAAACTGAGCCTAGGCTGAAACCAGCTCATTGGCTCCTTAGGGCATTTTCCTATTAACAAATATTGCGTCTCACTACAGATTCCTGCTGTTATTGCCAAGACTGTGCCTACGGTGGATGCCTTTATATATGCCTTGGGGAATGAGAACTACAGAGGAGGAATATGGCAGTTCCTCACAGGACAGAAGATTGAGAAAGCAGAAGTTGATAACAAAACTAAATAACCCATTACAGCACTGAGCAAGATTAATTCAAGTGCATCACTGAAAGCAAAACTATAGAGGAAACTGCATTCTCTGATGTGTACATGCAAAGGTGGTTCCACATTGGAAAGGCTGTGCATTGGCTACAAGCAACAAAGTACTAAAAGTAAGCCCTCCAGATAACTGTTCAAACCATCATGAGCTGCTTGTCAAACAAGCTGCCTTAAACCTATGTTGATTGTCATCAGTTTCATTTTATATGTCACTGCAAATAAACTACGTGCTGGAAAGCATTTTTTTTTCCTTTTACACTAAAATAAAAGCTCAGCAAATTAACTGAAGCAGGGTATTCATTTATCCAGTGAGACCTCCTCAAAGCAATCTGTACAGTTTGTCCATATGGCAATGTCTGGATTACTAAAAGATTAAAGGAATATCCAGTATTACACCACATGTCTGCATAAACAGCTTGTTCATTGAACAACACACTTTCAATGCACCCAAAATGGGAGTTCCCAAATTTTCAGGATGAATCTGCCATACTAATTCTATAAAAGTATTTTAGTGGGCATTTTAGCCCAGTAAGGAATATTAGCTTGGCTTCTACTCAAATGAATTAGTATGTGACATTCAGCTTTGCCACACACTAAACTGCATCAGATTTTGCAGCTGCTGCTTACAAGGAAAATCAACAAGCTCATACTCCATCATAAAAACATTCATCTTTTTATCAAACACTGAGCAAAAACTAAAGGCATGGACGGGTCCAATTCTGTTCTAAAAATGTCAGAATAATAAAAATTAACTTCATATCTGCCATTAAATTCCCCTGTGCTCTACATGAGCGAGAATAATCACTGAATCAGTTGTAACTAAAGAGTCTGAGCAATTAAAAAGCCATTAATTGTATAATTCACAGAATTCATATATATTTTTAACTATTAGAAATGTCCATTTTAAACATTTGTATTTGTGCATGTTGCTCACACTGCCTACAGGCTGAAAAGCTGTCAGTTGATATTGCCTGTTACTACAAGGTATGTCTCAGAATGACCTCTCTGCAAAAAAAAATATAGGCATGACATACAGAATACAAGAGATTGTGTGTATAAAAAGCCAAACCTAATTGATTCTTACAGGGATCGTATGGTTCATTTCCAAGCATTGACAGTGAAAAAGCTTTTGAAGCTAACCAAAGGAAAAGCTGATTTGTGCCTATGATGCTTCCTAACATATTAAAATGGTTGTGTATGGGTTACAAAAGGGTAAGGAAAAACAGTCGTATATAGGTTACAGAAGGGTAGATGGAATCTAAATTTATCTAAATCTAAATCTAATCCTGGAAGCTAAACAATCAGTGGAATAGAAAGGACATTCCCTTCATGGCCAGAAAGAGGAAATACATGTCATTTTGTTGCAAGTTAACCAGCAGAATTCCATTCAGGGACGTGCTCTGGGGCTTGTGAGACTCAACAGTCACAAAAAAGGCTGACAGAGCAGTGAATAACACCAGTACAAAATTATTCAGAATAATCACATCTAAAGCTGACAGCTAAGACTTACATCTTAGGTACCCATATTATTAAGTGAGCAGATGACAAAATGTTTGCAGTGATAAGTGCAAAATAATGTGTATGGGGGCAAAATTACCTCTAAGTAAGTGACAGGCTCTGAATCTGTAATTATCTTTTTCTCAGGAAAGAGACCTGGGCAAGTCTTAAAATCACCATTTCACTTGTCAGCGGGCTCATACTGATAAATCCCAGCAGAATGCTAAAATAAACACTAAAAATGGAATAGGAAACAAAAGAGGACACATGATTACACCACTTGAAAGCCACTGTGCTCACTTTTATGGAATAGGGTGCATAGTTCAGGTCATTCCAACTCAATGAGCATATAGATAAGCTAGAAAAGAGCCACAGGGATAATCAAACATAAGGAAAAGCTTGAAAACAATGGGAGATTGCTGGCTCAGAAGGGGTAGCTGGTGAGGAGACCAAAGACAGCCTTATTGAAGCAGGGGTTCAGATACCTAAAACAAATGCTTCTCAACCAGTTAGGCCCATAACTGTCCCAGCCTAGGGGCTCCTTCATACCACTTACAAAGGCTCTTGACTGAGTAAAGAGATATGCAAACAAAGCATTTGAACAAACTGAGTTCATAATGCCTTGGGTGCTGACTTCCTAAGAAAGAGTGGAGGAAATGAGGTTGCTTGTGGCTCATTTACTGGATGGCGGATAATCTCAAATTGAAACAAACAAAAAAGAGATGGAAATAAACATAAATGTTTCTAGGAAGTGGTCACCAAGACATAAATCCTCTTCTAGCTAGAACCATTTCTTACCAGCAATTTATGCACATTAAGAACTGGCTGACAACTACTTACAAGTGCACCAACAAGCATGCTGTCTTTACTTCAGAAAAATGTCTGAAAGCAAACTGCAGTGTACCAAGAAGCCAAACACACGCTTCCAGTTAATTACACAGTTTATCCTTAGCACAGTCAGTCTTTACCACAACAGCATTGGCCTGGTGCCCTCTGGCACTGCTGGTTTTCCAGAGCTTGCCAATGAATATCTGCTACCATCCTGATAAAGCCTGTCACAAAAATTTCCCGTATCTCAAGTGGTTACGCTGAAGTAAGTTGTGCAAAACCCCATTAAGTTTCCACACTCTGGAGAATCCCAGATGGCTATAAACAGGCTGTCTATTACCCTGACCAAAGTACAGCCCAGGGTATTACACAGGGACTGGGAAACATTCCCATACAGGTAGTACCCCACCTACCACCCAAAAAAAACCATAAAATAAGGAGAAAAGTATAACCTTTGGATGCATTCAGCAACTCAGCTTAAGCCAGAACAGCCAGTCTGAACATCACTGGTTAATACCTGTCCTGTCACTAAAGACAAGAGCAGATACAACCCACTTTTAAAAATAATTAGATGGCACTTCAGGGTACATCACATTAGCTATGGCAGCATTTGTTGGGGACGGTTTGGATAATTGATCATGATCAAGATAGAAGAGGAAAGCATGCCTCTCCTTAGTTGATACAGTATCTAATCACTCAACACACAATGATCTGTAGTATTATATCCAATACTACCACAACACCCTACTACCCCTCTTTACAGGAAGCCTGATTTTGCACATTTCCCTCGCAGTGAATATTTTAATGCACTGGTGAAAAACAGACTTCTGAAGAAGAAATAGAAGGCAATTTTTCCTCCTTACCCTAGACACAATCAGCATAATTTCTTCAGGTTTTCTTCCAGCAGACAGAAATGCCTTAAACCTTAAACAGCATCTCTTGCAGTCCTATTTTCAAGGCTATTAAACACCCACAACTCCAAACGAAAATGCTGTATCCTCAATAATGCTGCAAATTAAGGTCTTGCTGACTCAGGTTCCCCACACTGCCCACACTTACAAACACCCTACAGTTCAATATAGGGGAGTTGAGTTTTTCTGCAGCCCACATTCTTCATATGCTCCATACACTTTCTGATGATATTTCCCAGCATCTCTTGTACATCTGATGATGGCATTACAAACTGATTTAGGATTAGGGTCAGGGGAAGAATTTGCACTGCAAATTCACTCCTGGTCTGCCATCTCACTACTTTGAATCACACTACTGTAAAACAGTGAAGTGAGCTGGTTTTGTCACCACAGGGAAAAAAACATTGCCAAATTCCTACGCATGGACACAAGTGCTAATGACTGGTATGGGTCACCAAGTTGGGATACAGAGACTCAACTGTAATGTAAGGCCCTTATAATATGATGACAGCAAGTGTTAGCGTTTCACTTGGAAGGGTGGCTAAGTGCAGACTCACACCTCAGCCTACGATACTGTGAGTTTGCATTTTGAAGTTAAAATGCAAAACTATTTTGTATCATCTGCCTTGTACACATACTCACACTTAGAGATTATTCATCAGAGAATTACAGTCTATGGTCTGTACGAGCTACCCTGGACAGGCTAACACGGCAGACAGAAGGTGCTATGAAAACAGGCATTCCACTTTCTGCAGAGAAAAAGGGAAGATGGACCTGTTGCATTAAGATTATGTAAAATAATAAGAATTTTTAAATGTGAACACACATGCCCACACATCTGGCTTAGGTGCTGCTTGGAAACTTGCTAGTGTAAGGTAATCTCTTGCATTTTATTAAAAGACAAAAGGATCCAATAACAGCAGCGACAGAAAACACAACAACTCCAAGATCTCAGTAAGATGCAAGTTTGAATGATCATGAATACAATCAAAATTGTGCATGCAAGACTTAATTATTTTTTAACACTTTAAGACCCTTGGATTTCCACAGGCAGGATTTTTTCCTGCATTAGCAATGTATGAAGTTTTCCAAAGCAGAATTTGTTCAGAATGCAACATCAAATCATTGATCTGTCAGAAAAGGAGAGCTAGGACTAGAGCTAGGTGCTGTGCTGGGCTAGAGATTTTGTTCATCTGAGCAGTAGACAAGCTCAGGGCTCAGCCCCCTGCACACTGGTTAGAGATGAGTCCCCTGAACAATGCCAGAGAGGTGAGGCAAAGGGAACTGAACTGCTGCCTTGGGATGGGCCCACAGTAATAGTTAATACAACTAAGAGTTTTCACCTAAATGTTGATTTCATGTTAAGAAGTATTTCGGATGCAGATTCAACTACCTGCTCTAAAAGAAATCTGGTTTTAATTAGCCCAGGTTCAAAATTAATGTAAACTAATCAAACACTGTTTTCAGAAATATGCTTCAGAGCACAATACTTCATTCATTAGGCCTCTAATGGTAGAAAATGTGCTTCCTTTTAATAACGATTTGTTCTTAGGAATCTGAAAAATAACTGTGTATTTATAAAGCACAGTCTAACGTCTTTATATAGGGCTATCATAAGTCAAGTTTTAAAAATAACTATTTCTAACTGGAAGTACAAGAGTGTGACTGTAGGAAGACAAATATCTGTGGCCTACAAACCTTACTTGAAAAGAAAGGACTGAAATGGTGACAGCATCAGTTCACTTTCATATGAAAAACAGCAAAGAAAATTATGCAATTGGAAGCAAAGAGCAAACTATCAAGTCTTAATGGCAAGACTGCTAAATTTTCAATGCGCTTTAGATCTTGACAGGGAAAACAAACTGCATTTTGGCAGACAATAGCTGGAAGCTGTAATTGCTGGAGAAGTCACTGAATTTTCTTGGTGAACGGTGAGGTAAGAGATTTTTTCCTCATCATGGTTTTTAATGATCTGTGTCCACTGCCCAAGGTTTGTTCCACTGAACTACACAAGGAGGTGCTTAATTTCGTTCTCCACAAGCTGACCCAACATTCAAATACAGGCAGTTTTGCAAACAAATTGTATCACATTAGATGAGAGGTTTTGCTGAAAAGAAGCTGTACATGCAGAAGCTTAAAGATGTTATTAAGTACAGA